AATATGCCACTAACCATGCCCTATTTTCATGCCTTGGACTAAAGGCACAGTCCATGATCACTTTTCTGAAGAACTTCCTTCCTAGAGTTAGCTTGCCAGTTCTGCAAACGCAGATATGGGATTCTTTTCGCAATCCAAAGTGCGTGGAAACCTATGGAGCTGTTATAGAACTTGCTATCGAGCAGCCGAGTCCACCAAGGGTTATCAGCGTTTCGATTTGTTCTCAAGCTGGGTATAATAGCACCTGTTAATTCTGAATGTTATCTGAGCCTCATCTTCCCGAAAGGAATTCTTCCGTAAGTAGAGCTGTTGAGACCGTTACTGGTCAATGGGCTCGCCAATTTTGTGCCTTTGGACGCGTTACAAGGACGTTATGGGGTAGGACGTGGGCTTTACATTCACAGGGATCCATCCACGCCCAGCTCTTCAATATCTTATCTGCCTCGTAAGAGTGGGCTACTATGCTATCGCTTTACCCGGAGATCTTTTCCCTCTACGCGATTTACATTCATTCTTATACCGCTGTCTGTGCTTTCACTTTGTAAAGCGAGGGCATTGCCTTTTTAGTGCTCGCGGCTTCTCTCCCTTTCTTTACTTGCGATCCAATTTATCCCTACTTTCATATTTGAGTGGGACTATCGAGTTGACTTGATCTTGTCCTGCCTTCAAACCCATAAGACTTTCTTGGGGGACGAGCGATGTGATCGCAGTACGCCGCGGACGGTGAATAGCCCACACAGCTTGGCGGTGATATAATTCTGCAGAGCATAGATGATTCGCTGGCAGTTCGGACCAGGGTGAATATTGCTTGAGGATTCCTCAACGGCACGTCGAGGATTTTCGCCTGATCCTTTACGTTCTCGCGCGCGGATATTCACTCTCGCCACCCGCGAGCCGTCTGTGCTCTCCGCGCGTACATTCACTATCGGCTCTACTCTCGCACAGCAGAGAGCGATGGTCGAGGAATTCCTCGACCGTTATTCACCCTGTTGGACCAGGGTCAACCCTACGTTGTTACTAGTAACAACGGGGGGTCGTACCTGGTTGAGTTTGTAGGAGGGGGGTCGTCGTCAGTTGCAAA